CTAATACCTGCTCTGGGTAGAAAATCACATACACAATTAAATCAAGAATCCGAGCGAGGGTGGAGAACGGCCAGCCCGCAGGCTTTATAAGGCCCTCAGAATCATTTGGTCTGGCCCTACCGTGGCATTAGGGGTGAGTTAATTAAATATTTGGCCAAATATAGCAGGCTAATTTTTAAGCTGATAATTTTGAACGGCCTGAGAATGATGTTATAAATATCCAAATGGCCCTTGGCAGAAAAAAAGGTTCCCCACCCCTGAACTGAGCAACAACGAATAGGAGATGTCCCGGCTGTATTAGCCTTAATCCTCTCCATCTTAATCCTTGCTATTATCCCAATACTACATACACCAAAACAATGAAGCACAGAATACACAGTTTTCATTGGTCATTTGTGCCTTGTAGTTTTCATAGTAGAAGAACTGGAATTTCTACTCTAGAAACCATTTTACTTTTCAAGCCAACACATTAAATTCTTCTCTTGTAAAATACCAACAGAAAGTGAAATGTAACCTCACTCTTTATTTAGAAGCTCCAAAGTCCTTTCTTGGATTAAAATGAATGAAATGGATTAGTATCCAAAATATATATATATACAAAAGAAAAAGTGTTAATTCCTACCTCCATTATCTTTTAGATGCAGTGCTATCTTGGTATCATCTGAAAGAGAAACTCAAAGTTATTACAACAGAAAAAAAATTAAAAGTACATAAATCTCAGGAACAATAATTGTACAGTAATGTTTTAATGATGCTAATGTTTTAATGATAATGTGGATAGATTTTAACACTTTAGTAAGTTTTACTTCTAGTTCAATGAGAGCAAGTCCTAGCTTACACGATGTGATGTAGTACTAAAATTTCTTCATGAAATCAAGACTTAATCGAGTATTATATAATTCTTAAGATCTGTGAGAAAAGTACATTGTTATAAATGTAACTTAAAATACATGTATTTTTAATTTTCAAAAATGAGTAATTATAATTAGACTTTATAGTATGACCTTTTTTATTCATTAAAAATTAAGATCAAGAAAATTTCAAATTAATTGTAGTAATGATTTACCATTATTTACAAATTTAATTTCAAAAGTTAAATAAATGCTTATTCATTGCTAATCAATATATCCAACTTCACATGAAAAATACCTTGACTTTAATGGACAAAATGTAGATCATACATTTTTATTTCAGTGGTTATATTTTATTTTATAGGGTAGTATTCAAATTGTAGGAATATTTCACAGGGTAGGATTCAAATTGCGAAAATATTTTCACAGGCTATATTCAACCTAAATAATTTGGATTAAAATAAATATAACATTGGTGTTAAATATCTAAATAAATGTATTTAATAGTTGTCCTCTTCCTCACTATTTATTCCAGTTAATTTTTGATATCCAAGTAAATTTCAATGAAAAGCAAAGGCTTCAAGTTTAATTCCTTATTCAAGTGAAAGCAAGGCTTAGTACAGTAAAGAAGTGAGACCATTTTTCTCCCCTCAAAGCTTACTTTTGGCGAACTAGTCTCACATTTCTCTTTAGTGGTACCATCTAGAATATTCACAAACTTTGACTAATATTCCTCTTCCCCAGTGAATTGTATCCGTGCATCAATGGACTCTGGCATGTCTCTCTTCCCTGGCAGAGGTGATGTTTCCCACGGATAATTTCTGTGACATTTATAGTACCCTCTACAGGGTATGGACCAACATATCTTATTGATTGTGTTCAGGCAAATATTAGAATTGCAGGTGAGTAGAATTACGTATTGTTCAGAATCCAAAGTCAATGAATATTTTATATAAATTTGCCTTCATATCCTGTGTCTAAAATGTGGAATTCAGTTACTTCAAAGTTTAGCAATACGAAAGGAAGTCTATACTTTTCTAGGGAAGACAAGTAAGCCACTATTGAAAGGCAAAGTACATTAAAAGAATCCCAGCACATATTTTTATTCCATAATAATTTTGTCTTTTCCCCTTTAGAAATCCAGTTTGCTAAAAAAATAAAATAAAAATTCCCTCTAGAGAACAACACCAGTCCATGTCAACACCCTGAGTTTGCACCTTCTGTGGGCAGGCTGGTGGGCAGCTGGGATGTTGCTGCTCTTCTGGTGGTTGTTAAGAACCTAAATAGTACAGTAGTTGCTTGCATGGTTGTGGTGGTCTGAGAAGAACTTTCCACTGATTCCACAGTCTCACACATCTTCTCTTTTGACTAATAAGAGAAACAAATGGGAAAGCAATTTAAGAGTGATCATATGATTTAAAATTACATCTAAGAAATTGGTCTGTAAATCACAAGAGACTCTCGAATCAACACGAGGGCTACATTTTTGTACAAGACTATATTTAGGCATTTGTTGATTTACAAAGTATGTAAAATAGACGAGAGAATAAGTTGGATGTAAAAAAGCATTTCCATCTTTGGATATTTGAATTTCATCATTTTCTGCTTGATAACCTTTCTGTTTACATAATACTGCTGTTAATCTTGCTCTAAATTTTATATCAGTATATGTAGAAAAGACATGATGTCAAAAAGAAAAAGGTTATACAAGAAGAAAAACATGTGCACGAAGATAAGGTTTAAAGCATAGTTAGGTATGTGAAGAAAAATGCATTCTCTCCATATCAAACTGATAATGACAATTCTAAAAATTTGGTGACTGCTGCATATTACTTCTACTACTTTAACAATAATCCCCCACAGATTGAATGGGTATTTAAAATGTGTTTCCCTTTGTGAAATATTGAAACCACCCAAGTGGAGGATTGAGCAACCCTCATTTATCACTTAACCTATCATTTCCCTAGCAGAGCTTTACTGGGGACACCAGGGAAAGGTACATGTTGTATTTTTCACTTATGGTCTATGAAAATAAATCCTATACCAGCGATGGAGAACCTATGACACACGTGTCAGAGATGACACGCGAACTCGTTTTTTTGGTTGATTTTTCTTTGTTAAATGGCATAGAGAATAATTTGGATGTAAAATAGCATTTCCATCTTTGGATATTTGAATTTCATCATTTTCTGCTTGATAACCTTTCTGTTTACATAATACTGCTGTTAATCTTGCTCTAGATTTTATATCAGTATATGTGTAAAAGACATGATGTCAAAAAGGAAAAGGTTATACAAGAAGAAAAACATGTCCATGAAGATAAGGTTTAAAACATAGGTACGTGAAGAAAATATGCATTCTCTCCATATCAAACTGATAATGACACATTCTAAAAATTTGGTGACTGCTCCATACTATTACTATTTTAACAAAAATCCCCCACAGATTGAATGGGTATTTAAAATGTGTTTCCCTTTGTGAAATATTGAAACCACCCAAGTGGAGGATTGAGCAACCCTCATTTATCACTTAACCTATCATTTCCCTAGCAGAACTTTACTGGGGACACCAGGGAAAGGTACATGTATTTTTCACCGGTAGTCTATGAAAATAAATCCTATACCCTTCACCAGTAGCAATATTCAACATTCTAACTTTTATGATTTGGAAGTTGGTGTCTCTCCCCACCTCTTAGTGCTTCAAAGCACTCCATCCCTCAGATGGGCCTTGAGGAAACAGATGATAACTATTCTGACATGGAAGGCACTCCTCCCACATTTGAATTTATTACTAAATAAATACTTCTCTTAAACTTCTCTTGTCACTAGTGAAGTAAATGCACTTTACTACTGCTTAGAATGAGTTCCTGAGATGGCTTCCTTTTCACTAATTGGATACGACACAGGTTTATTCTATACTTTATCATCCCTGGGACCCATTCAATTCCCGTAATTTTAGATCCTATGTCTTCTCAGCCCCAAAGATCTCATGATCATCTCTTGATTCTACTTTAGTTATCATCTCCATATCCTGGACCTTATCTGCAGTTGAAAATACTTTACTTCTGAAATAATAACTCCAGTTACTCTATTTTTAGCTAATCTATGTACCTGTTCACTCAAATTCTTCTTATCCTGTGATTACATAGAGTTATTGTCTTCCTTTATGTATTCTTTTTTTCTATCACATCAACTTCTTTTTCATCTCATGATCATCTCTTGATTCTACTTTAGTTATCATCTCCATATCCTGGACCTTATCTGCAGTTGAAAATACTTTACTTCTGAAATAATAACTCCAGTTACTCTATTTTTAGCTAATCTATGTACCTGTTCACTCAAATTCTTCTTATCCTGTGATTACATAGAATTATTGTCTTCCTTTATGAATTTTTTTTCTATCACATCAACTTCTTTTTCAATAATATCATGCATCTTTACCTTATTCTTCTTTTCACATCACCTTTACAGAAAATCATCAATATTGAATATAGTTGTTGTTGTTTTTAAAGAAATCTATCTTTTCCTTGACTGCTCAGGCACAGCCAGAGGAAAACCACACAGCCCCCCACAGGGAGGTCTGAAAACTCACCTCCTGTATCCTCAACAGTGTCTTTTAGGCTGCTTGGCAACAATGGCCTGCTTTGCTAACCTCTTCTCCCATTACCCTAAGTATAAATTTCAAACCCTCTTCAATCTACTTAAAAACTCCAGTCCCATAATGCTTCTCCCATTTTGATCTCATGGGCTCATCTTTTATTTCTTAAATAAAAGAGCCATCAGCAAGAATTCCTTTTCTTTACAAATCAGCATTCTTCCTTGAAGTAGCTCTTGGACAGGATTTGCTTAACTGATAAGAAAAATGGTGTAACTGTTCATTGTTTTTATTCAAAATTCATACCCTAAAACTTAAAGGGTGAAGAAACATAATTTTCTTTGTACATAGATTTCTCATACAGAATATCTTTATGTGACCCTGAAATGACAATGTAAATGCAATTCACTAGAAAACTGTTGAACAGGTTCAAATTGCCTCTGCAACTGTACACGTTTATATGAATTGCTTCATTGCATCATTGTCTCCATCACGTTCGCCTGGGAGTTACTGTTTCTGTTATATCATTTTTAACTTATACCAGTCCAATTTGCTGCAATCAATCTTTTCCTTCATACCACTGGCTTTATAATTTGAGTGGAAAAATATGAAAAATGACTTCCTAGATCTTAGAAAAGCAGCAAGCAAGTGTTTAAGAGAACTATCCTTTGCTCATAGAAATTCAAATCCTGGTTCTATTATTCCCTATCCACATACCCAACTCTGGATACCCTCACTACAGCCCTCCACACCATTTCCCCTCACCCCTCTCTCTTCTCCTCTTGGTAATATGGGGGCAATAACAGCTCATACCTCACAGAATGGGTATAAGAATAAATTGAGAAAATACATGCAAAGATTTACAAGTAAAACCCCAAGTCTGGTACATATAGGGGACTCAATAACTGCTGTCTACTTTTACCAAATGAGATAGCATTTTCATTAAGTTATAGCATCTATATATGACAGTGTGTTTCCCCGAATCTTGTCATAATAAAGAACATGTGTACCTCTTCAGGGCATCCACTGTCCACCCAGTCCTGGCGATGACGATCAAAGCCACTGGAACATCTTCAGAGAAGACCACATTGCAGTTCAGAAAACGAAGTAAGGGTGCAGAGTGAGGAGCAAGAATGAAAAGGAAAAGATCGGTAAGTAGGTAATTCTCCAATTTTCAGTTTAGCACAACAAGCTTTCTTCTGCAGACCTGTTGATTGGAGCAATCATAAAGTATTAACAGTGTTCTGGGGGACAGCTCACCCCCAGGTGGTCATCCGATTGGGTCAAACATGGCTACAAATGACTGCCCTGAGGTCCACTCCGCCGTGCAGGACCCTGGGCTCCCAACCCAAAGGTAAGGCCAGTTGCTATTCTGAGAAGCTGGTTTTCCTCATTTCTGTTCTCATCGTCCAAACAAGTGGATATAGAAAAATATTTTGCAGGTGTCATTTTTTCAGTATATCAGATCTTTTTATTTGTTTTTCTTAAGTTTTAAAATTTAAGACTCATAGTCATACAAACTCTACTGTATTGTAAAGGGTTAACGCAGCAGGTCCCGGGGTGTTCAACCCACACATTCCAAAGAAATATCCAGCCCTTGGGAGCTAAAGCCTGTGGACTATCCTGTTGGATAAATGCAAGATAGTTTATGCTAACAATATGATTTATGGCGAATGTCTGTTTTAGTCACCTGGAGCGCTGGGCCAGGCTCTATCAGTTTGAACTCTGTGGGGGCTGGAGACTAGAGATAAGGTTAGTCGTGGAGAATTTCATACCTACGTGACTGACCCTCCATAAAAACCCTGGGCACCAGGACTTGGATGAGTTTCCTCAGTTGGCAGAACATGCTGTGTGTTCACAGATTGCTGCTGGGGAAGAAGTGCTGTCTGTAACGGCGGCACTGGAAGAGGATAACCGGAAGCTTCTCATCTGGACTCTGCCCTCAGGGCCTTTCGCCTTTGATGATTTTCATCTCTATCCTTTTGCTATAGAAAATGGCAGCCTGGGGTATAACAGCTTTTCTGAGTTCTGTGAGTCCTTCTACTGAATCACTCAGTCTGAGTGTGTTCTTGGGAATCCCTAACAACACTATGATTAGGTCATATCTAAAATGGCCACTTGAGCAAGCACTGGGCTAGTAAGATTTTGTTCACTCTTTCTTCCTCGACTGGAATAATTTTCTGCCCTCTAGCTACAGTCCATTGATTTTTTTTTTTAAAAGAAACACAAAAATTACTCTCCAGAGCCCATTCTGATAAAGTTTCATAATTGCTATTGATCACATCTTACTTTACTATGTAACTTTTCTTCTTTATACAAAATGTCATGTCCTTATTTACCAAACTTGATTGTTAACATTTTAAAGTTATGGCCAGTGTCATATATGAGCGTACCTAGTATGGCCAACACATGATTTTATTTTCTTATTAGAAATTCAAAGTATTTTTGTCAGTTTATTAAAATTGAAGACTTAAACTGCTCCTGAATTTAATATCTATATAGTCATTTACATACAATATATATGAATCCATCTAATAAATGTTAACCTAAAGATATTTAAATATTTTTTAAAAATAAATGAAGACTATTCAACTTTTGTATTAAATTTCCTTATAGGGGTATAGTGCTACTATTCTTTCCCACTTGTTTTGCAGTGGGTCCACATGATGACTTTTTCTAAGAATCTTTGCCAGAGATTATGCACTATGGCATGAATGAGCATAATTTAATTCAAGTGGAATGTGAAAACAACTCTACTGTCAACATAAAAAAAGCACACCATATCTATCATTCTGCCAGACATGATTCATTGGAGCTCAGCTATTTTATGCCTACCATCTGTGTTGAATGAACATAAGTGTGGAATAAATATCAGTGTGTGACCTGGCACGCTAACTTTGAGAATCCCCAGTTGGTCAAGGCCATCTCTGATTATGCAAAGAAAATCTAACATTTAGTCTATTTAATTCCACTTGGTTGTTCCCTCCTGTTCTTTTTGCCTTTCAAGTTTAAGTACGGAAAAATATACATACTGACATTGTGTTTTGCAAGATGGAGATATATCAATTTTCTATAATAACAAGATTTTGGGGAGCCACCTGACCACAAATAATAAAATGGAATAGATCATTTTAAAATGAAGTTTGTTTTTACATACTGTATGGCAAATGTATTCAAAGACAATGGCAAATAACAACTTTTACTTATTTTATTACAATTGTAGTAAATCTTAAATTTATAAGTCAACTGAAATTTTATCTTAAAAAATTAGTTCTTTAAATGGTTAAATCAATCCCAGGGAAAAGTACAGAAGCACTGCATTTTTGCTTGATTTATTAGATGGTCCCCCAGTTATATATGTGAAATTAGGTTCTACTGAAAATATGTGATACAATTAAGCAATTTATTCATTTATTCACAATTGATTCTGTATTAATTGATCTGCAGTTTACTAATTGCCAGGGTAGGAAGGATTGACAATGGCAAACACCAATAAGATTTGGTTTGAAAAGCTCATGCATTCTGTAGCTTACAGTGCCTTAAAAATTAACACAACTGCCACAGCCGATTTGGCTCCATGGATAGAGCTTTGGCCCATGGACTAAAAGGTCTCGGGTTTGATTTGATCAAGGTCATAAAACCAATGGATCTCTCTCTCTCTCTCTCTCTCTCTCTCTTTCTCTCCCCCACCCCTTCCTTTCACACTCTCTAAAAATCTCTCTCTCTCTCTCTCTCCCCCCCCCTTCCTTTCACACTCTCTAAAAATTTTCCTTGGGTAAAGATTAACAACAATAACAAAAATTAACACAACTGAATGCTGCGTTTTTAGCATTTTTTATAACCGAATATAACCTAAATAGCACCCAAGATCAAGTATAAACAAAGGAGTGTGTGTATGCTATAAATTATTAAGAAAAACCACCTTTATGTTATTTCTGAATTCAAAATAAACCAAAAATCACTTTTGAGATCAACTTCCTCTCTCCACTGAGCTGCTGTGTTGTTTTTTTCTAAAACAGAGACATTAACAATGACATGCTCCGGCATATTGATTTCCAGACCTTTAACAAATATATTTTTATTGATTTCAGAGAGGAAAGGAAAAGGAGAGAGAGGTAGAAACATCAATGATGGAAGACTATCACTGATCAGCTGCCTCCCACAAGCCCCCAACTGGGGATTGCTCACAACCAGAGCATGTGTCCTGACCAGGAATCGAACCATGACCTTCTGTTTCATAGGTTGATACTCAACCACTGAGCCACACCAGCAAAGCAATTTCCAGACATTTTTAACACTGTTAGCAAACAGACTCTTCTACATTGTAATCATCTAGTATTCCTGTTAAACTAAATTCCTGGGTATATCTGTATAAGAAAGATTCTCTGATGAATTTGGGTTCAGCAATTTTCACTGTAAATAGTCATCCCACATGATCCTTACCACACTGAAATCTGAGAACCACTGACATCCCATCCTATATGTCCCCATAGCAGGCCCCTTCCCACTCCTCCACCCATCACTGCAACCTGTTCTTATGCCCCTTAGTGCCCCTCCCTGAATGTGCTGTGCTCCTTGAGGTCTCTGACTTTGAACCTGCTGTTACTAGTGTCTAGAATACCTTCCCTGTTTCTAATCAGTAAACCCAATTGAACTGAAGCTTATGTACTCCAAGAAGCATCTACTTTCTTCCCATCCAGAAGGGTTAGCAACCCTTTCTCAGTGCCCTCAATATCAACCCAATGTCAAGTGCTAGTATCTATTACACTGTAGTTGGTTGTGTCCGAGCTTATCTTAACAAGACCTCGAGGAGAACATGGTTCAAGGGGAAGACTTGGGGTTCAACTGCTTGAGCTGGAATTTTGGCTTGGGCACAAAACAGGTATGTGATCTTGGGAAGTTATTTTTCCTATCTAATCTTGTTTCCTCATCTGCAAAATGAGGTAGGAGAGGTTATGTAAAGATTAAAGCTAGAGCTTGCTACATAGTCAACATTTAGTCAATAGCAGCTGTTTTTCATACCTAGGTCGTGACTTTGTAGTATACATGTGGTAAGGTCGGTAATTGTTGAAAATGAATCAGTGAGATTGTCATGGTATGAGCAGTGTTTTGGAAAATGTTTAGGAATTAATTGTGTACCATATTAATATGAAATATACTTTATCATCATATCTGGGAATCTATAATAATAAATGGGTAATATGCTAATTAGACCGGACATCATTCCTGATGAAGCCGGGGCCGGAGAGAAGCCCGGGTCCTGGGTGCCAGAGGGAAGCCAGTGCCGGCAGCCGGGGGAAGGAAGGCCTACTATCTTGCATGAATTTTATGCATTGAGCCTCTAGTTAGTATTATAAAATCTTATGAGAGAATATCAAAGTTGCTCTCAAATATGGGACAAATCTTTATTCAATATTTATAAATAAGGCAGAAATTACATGGTTTTGTAAATATTTCTCAAAACTGACTTAAATATGTTTATTTAATACATGTTTAACTTTACATATCTATTTCATATGTATCCTAACTTTGATATTTCTAATGTTTTTTGGAAGAAGTTATTTCCTTCTTCTCACTCTTACCTAATTCCAAAACAAATAGATAGAGAGCTATACTTCAAATTACTTGTACTATTCTCCTCTCACTTTCAATGGGATGTTGATTTCAAAGCCCCCAGGGACCATGTTAAGTGAACCCTATTAAATTAGGCAGCCTAGAAAACAAACAATAGCTTGAAGTATCTATCCAGTCAAGAGATTAAAGTGTAAAACTCTTCAACTCTCTAACATATCTGTTTTGTAGAAAGAATTTTTTTTTTTTTTTAATTCTGGGCCAGCTTTAGCTCTGAGGCTCCAGCTCTTAGGCCTCCACTGCTGAAAGTAGGTAATCGAAACAATGTATAACTCCAGCTCTGAGATCCCCGGCTCGCTGAAAGCAGGTTTCTGGAGGTTTTTTTTAGCTTCTATATGTTACTATGTTTCAAACTGCCCGCTCAGAGGCCTGCAGCGGCAGGCGGGGGACGTTGGAGTCCACCGTCACTGAAGCAAGCAAGCCTCATATTCAGTTTAAGC